CTGTGCCCATTAATAATAAAAATCTCAGGACAATTCACACAGCGCCATCTAGACCCAAGTTAAGCTAGCTAAAGCTTGTGTTATGAGTTCTAGATAACTGATACATATACATAGTTTTATTCTCTTTTTGTGCATACATGCGTATTATACACAGAAAACACCCAAACCGATACAAATGAACACAAATGTTTGTGCTGTGCGAGGAATCGAACCCGCAACCATAGGAAGGAAGACGGTGTAGTACACCGTTAGACCACCGAGGCCGTCAAATAATAATAAACATATAGCAATTGAATTACAAATTTTCAATATGTTACTAAACAAATATTAATTTAAACACCGGAACAGCGGCGAGTATATCAGTAGTGACGGATTCCGCCACGCTGTGTATGATATACATACATGTATATATACGTATGTGGGACACCAATAATATGTAATCAAACAAGCTGTAACATATATATTATATATTCATTGGTATGTTGTATCAAACACAAATAACATAGTAACGTGATGTGAGGAGGTAGCTGGGTGCCTACTACGTATATTTTGGCGCGTTTTATTGATGTTTTGTAAGAAAGACCTTCGCTCGGCCCTGACTCCCTGAGCAGCACCCCGCACCTTATTTATGAACGGATGTATTCGCGCTTCTTTTAGTCAAATAACGGGACAATAAATAATATATATATATATATATACACGTAATACCACGTTATATGTACAATGTACATACACTTGTAAGTTTTAGAGCTATGAACACTATTAGATGCGTACACACTTACTAAGATACTTGATAATTCATAACTATAAAAAAGCAAATCAGCACGATATGTTTGTGTTTAGACCGCCCGCGCCAGTACCGCTATTTTTGTGGATGATAATGGAATGGTGCACCCGCCTGCACTAACGGTAAACCGTTACATGATGGGGCACCGTGGAGGATGATAAGATGCGCATGAGGTCAGATCAGTTAGCACATCGTGACAAATTCACCAAGAATTTATCTCGATGGTTTCCAGGAGAACCGCGTGGAGGTCACCCTGACATGGTACATTGCTAGCAATAAGATCATTGGTCCACATTACTAACAATCACCTTTCCCCGGCCAGTATTGGTTAGTGATTAGGAACTTGTGATGATGGTGGTGCTGTCAATAATATGTTGTGTGTGGCTGCAGGTGCCACTTTCCGTCGTGTGGGCTATTGTGTTTGTTTTAGTTTAGTTTTGTATTTGTTGTTCGCCTTGTATGTAAATATATGTACTTGTTTCAGTAAGATCAGAGCGTCAGTCCGGCGTGGTCATGACACCGAGCCCTGTACAGTACCCTGCCTGATCTGTGCACTTTAATGGATCCAAAAAATAATACCAGTTTCTTGTTCACTAGTGATTTATATTAATATAATTTACAAAATAAAAATATATTCTTAATTGGTATCAAACTTTTGTAATTCATAATTTTCAAGTACCGAATTTCGAATCATCATCATCATTACATAGTATAAAACAAAGTCGCTGTCGCTGTCTGTCCCTATGTATGCTTAAATCTTTAAAACTACGCAACGGATTTTGAAGCGGTTTTTTTCATAAATAGAGTGATTCAAGAGCAAGGTTTATATATATAATACATGTACACCCGTGTGAAGCCGGGGCGAGTAGCTAGTTATGTAAATAAAAAGTAAAATATAGTTTAATGGCCAAGGTTTTACATATTTAACCAACAGTTAAGGTAGAGTCGCGTAATGTTTCGTGTCACACAGCGCGCGTCGCGAACGAGCACAGGAAGTACATAAGAACTGTGTAGAGACCAGTTTCAGTAGAGCGAGTTCCGAGGGATGGAGCGACCTCGCAAATGATACCCTCTGCCGCCGCGCCGCCAGCCTCCGGCCGGTGAACGACGTCACGCACCGATTACTCTATATCTCGTATGTATACGTAACTTCATTATAACATTGTTACTGACGTACATCACGATACACACACAACCGAAGTTGAAAGCGCAGAAGAGAGCAAGCAGAGAGACTGGACCAGAAGAAAACATATAATAACGAAGATACTACCTACACATGAGGTTGTGTTGTGTAGATTTGAGTCTGTACAAACAATTTATAACATTACCCAGCGATTAAAAAGATAATATTTATAAAACCAATTTAAAAACTAAGCTTAAAAAATATTTATTCAAAAAATTCATCAACGGAGTAAAAGCATTTTATCTTTTACTCCGTTGATGAATTTTTTGATGACTGACGGTTGGCTGACTGTGGCTCAATTCGGAAATTATTATTGATATAACTCTTTTTATTTAATTCAGGCTACATGGCCCATATTAAAAATACCTTATAGAACTAACATACATAAGGAATAATAATAAAATATGTAAATAAAATTGTCTCTATGGTCACGGCACTGACGACGGCAATCTGCCACGGTAGCGCCGATACACCACACCCATCGGCCAGTAGTCCTCCTTCATGAAGGTGGGCAGCATGTTGGTGGGGACCAGTCCCGAACGCTTTGAAGCTCGCGTTGTGCTTGATTCCAACTGCGTCACCCTTATGTCAGGTTGTTTAGTCATGTAGTCAACAATGTCCTGTTCCTAAGTGTAGGCGAGATAGGTACATTATTTTTTCACGTGTTATTAGTATTATGTGTCTCTCGTTACTTTATTTTGCTGGATGATATTCATTTTTATACTGTTACTGTGACTGTACATCGTGTGCATTTAGGAAGCGAGGGGCGCACATGCATCTTAGATAACTGCCTCTTGTAGTGGAATGTAGATTAGTTGTTTAATTATTTATTTATTGTTATTACTATTATGTTTTATTTTCCATTATTATTATCAGGGGGAGGGTTATTATTGTTCCTAATTTATGTGAATATTATGACATTCTTATTTTAGATTTATATTATGAATACAAAAATAATTGTTATGAATAAATAAATAAGTATCACCCGCCTCATAATAAAAATCTATTGATGGGGCGTTATTAGCGTTCGGCACGCACATTCAGCAGATACACTCTGATCGATGAACATACAACGACACCGACACCCGTGAATAATATAAGAAAGGTCTAACAGATTCAGAATATTTATGAACCGAGGTACTTATGTGGTATGAATATAGAGCAACAATAATAGAAAAAATCACTGGAAATTGTTCCATTTGACAATTTGTGACGGCCGCGGTGATCTAGCGGTTTAGCACATCGTCTTACTTTCAATGGTCGCGGGATCAATTCCTCGCACGGTACAAACATTTGTATTCATAAATATGGTTGTTCGTATTAGTCTGGGGATTTTCTATCTATATGTATGTATGTATTTACGAAAAAAAAAACTATTTATGTATTTGTATAATATTAGTTATCTAGTGTCCATAACACAAGCTTTAGCTAGCTGAGCTTGGGTCGAGATGGCGCTGTGTATATTATGTATGTATTTACAAATTAAGACGAAATATATGTATTTATGTCAGTAGTCTAGTACCCATAACACAAGCTCTGCTTATCTTGGGACTAGATGGCGCTGTGTGAATTGTCCTGAGATATTATTGTTATTATTATAATGATAACATTACATAAACAATTAATCTTCGTCATCCAGAAACTTATTTCTACTAAGTAGTTGTTTTCTAACAATATTTTTTTAAAGTCAATTTATAATGTTCAAAGTCATCAGTGAGCTTTAGTCTCGTGAGTATTCTTATCAGTTGTACATCAGACTACTGTATCATCTCTCACTGGTGCCACCAGCGTCGGCTGGCGTCGGCTGGCGTCGCGATGACTTACCGCCGCGGTATGTAGGTTGTCTCGTCAGCACAACTGTAAATATGTCTCTGGTTGCTGTGTAACACACATGTGCGTGTGTGGGTGTTACTAAAATATATTCACGTTTTTTATATACTACTATGATGGCAATCAAGCACCTGATGGTAAACGGTTACCGTAGTCTATGGACGCCTGAAATACCAGGGGTATCATACCCTTAAGAAATCTTAATATACCCTTCTTGACAAACCCCATGCTGTAGTCTCGTGAGAAAACCTCGGCAGGTAGTTCGTTCCACAATGTAAGTGTACGCGGGAGAAAGCTCCTCTGAAACCGCACTGTCCGAGACCACTTAGGTTCCAGCGTGTGGGGATGAATTCCCTGTCGATGGCGAGCGGTGCGATGGTAAAAGGTAGCCGTGGGCATCATGTCCAACAATTCTTCAGAACACAGTCCGTTGTATAATCGGTAAAACACACAAAACGATGCGAAGTCTTGCCTCGAGCTAAGTGGCTCGATACCGTATATGGTTTACTTATATCAAAATAAATGAACCACATGCACCGTGCAGTCGAGTGTACGTACGTACGAGTACACATCTTGAGTGCTGAATTCATTTAACTAACGCAATGTTCGTGATTTGGATTGCACAAAATGGTATTACGAGAGGTACTCGCAGTGGTTGAGTACTAGTACTAGAGGACGCACATGTTCCTGAATGAATAAAAGGCTCCATTGAGATGTCGGTCGGACGCCGCCGCCGCCGTCTACATCTGTGCATAATGAATATCGGCCTTCCGCAATTACTTTTGGTATTAAACGCCTGTCGTGGAGAACATCTGCCGAGCCCCGGCCGTAATGCGACCACACTGATACAATTTTTTGCAAGCATAATCGTTTGTCAGTTTTTTATTTAACCAAATTATTATAATTATATTTAAGACTACTCTAATGCTGTTGTCCGTAGCTGGCCTTTACAGCTTCACCGGACGATAGAGGACGAGTGCAGATGACACTACAAACCAAAGGAAGGACTTAGAGCGGCTGAAGGCCAGCTCCCGCCTGACGGATAAGACTTTAGTCTGAGGGCACGTCTAGGGGTTCGAACCTCGGCTCAGGCTGTCGTAATGTCGTAATGTCGTAATATCGATCCCCGTTTAAATTTGACTGGGGATAGAAAGGTGGAAACCAGAAGAGTAAAGAGGATGTAGTGGTGGTGGTACTCACAAGCAGCGATGCAGCAGTGAGCGCGGCTCCGGCCACGCGTCTCTGATGATGGCAAGCGCGTCCAGCAGCGCCGGAGAACACTCGCCGCTACCACCTGCAACCAACCACACCCACCGTTAGATACATATCCCATTCATCAGGAATTTTATTCCCAATATTGTTGGAAGATGTTTTATTCAACTGTCACTTAATTGTCCAACAAAAAATGGCGGAATCGTTCTTAAATAAAACAATATTGCGACTACAAAGTGAGATGTAAGCTATCCTATCTTTCAAGTTGGATCAAATTGCGCACAAAGTGCAAATCAAATCTGCAATCGGTTCAGTAGTTTAGTAGTGCATCGCGGACAAACAACGTTACATATCACGTTGTTTGTATAAAGATTACAACACAGCTTCGTTGTTCTTACTTAGACTGCAGTGCAAGTGGAAACAGAAGACGTAACTTGAGGGAGGCTGTAGAAGGTCTCAGTATCTCTTGCTTGTTTGGAATACTGACAATTATCCACTAATTTGATACACCATGACTAGTAATTACATTAAAACAAGTCCCGTGAAACTGTACGAGTATCAACAGAATTAGCACAGCTTTATAAAACAAAGAGCAGACAATCTTCAGAGCTCGTGCGAACCAAACATATTTTACACCCGACAATAAACTGTAGTTAATGAATACACAGTCATCCTGAAATAGTATGAATCATGTGTGCTTACATCTTTAAAACTACTCAAGAATGAGTGATTCAAGAGGAAGGTTTATATATTTAATGCGTGCACACCCGTGCGAAGTCGGGGCGAGTAGCTAGTACTTAATAATAATAATAATCTCAGGACAATTCACACGGCGTCATCTAGACTCAAGTTAAGCTAGCTAAAGCTTGTGGTACGGATACTAGAAAACCCATACAAATACATACATACATTTTTTTCGTAAATACATACATATTATACATAGTATACACCCAGATCGATACAAACAATCACACTCATGAATTATCGAACCCGCGACCATCGGAAATCGGTGAACGAAACCACCAGACCACCGAGACCGTCAGTATAGTATCATATAACAGTAATAATACATTGTGCGTCAAACACAACTATAAAAAAACTATGAGTTTCAGTTATTATTCACATATCCACAGCGATATGCATATATTACATACACATCAGTACCGCAGCGATATGTTATAGTAGTACAAATGACATTTACTTACTTTAATGACTTTGGTTCCTATACATAACATTGCTGTAATCATGTATTATTTATATGTAATGAAATACATGACGATTCATGCTAGTGAATATAACATAACGATGTATTATTACACATCAAATGTAACTGACCATATAAGACTTTTGTTGTGTTGTGTGTCAAACAGTCGAAGATGTCCACTACCTGTTGATGAATCGAGCTGAGAGGGAACTATTTATTAAAATGTTTAAAATTAACAAATTAGATGTGGCTAATATTCAGAGCATGCTACATGCCCCCACCTACTACTGAGACTGCGCTGGGTTTGTGTGACTAATGAAAGTTTTTTTTTTATACTACGATGGTGGCAATCAAACGTACGGCCCATCTGATGGTAAATGGTTACCGTAGCCTATGGACGCCTGAAACACCAGGAGTGACACGTGTGCGTTGCCAACCCTTAAGAAACCTTAATATACCCTTCTTGAAAAACCCCTTCTTTATTAAATACATCAACATATTTGATGTGGCCACTATTCAGAGCATACTACTGAGATTGCGCTGAGTTTGTGTCCATTGATAAAAGCTATTCAATAAATAGATCCCTCTCAGTTGGTAATTATTTGATTGTGTTTATTAATTTTAACAATTGTTACGATTAGTTTGTAATAGTGGGGTTGACATGTCCAAGATAAAAAACCCCAAATAAAAATATATTAAAAATATATATAACTAAGACGTGAACGTATGTCTGTGTCGTGTGTTGTGTACCTTCTAAAGTTCTAATCATAGTAACAAACTCCACCGCGGTGACCTAGTAACGTGTCACACGGTACCACCGCGATGACCGCCAGTGCTGCACAGTGTAGGAGCTCTCTCACTAGAGTGTAGGAGGGCCGGGGGGCCTATTTTCTTTGACGAAAAGAAGTGTGGTATAACGTGACCACATGGAGTTTAGATATAAATAAACACCGCACTTACGTACATACATACATGTTATACAATGCTCTGTTTCCTATTGTTTTTTATGGATGACTATCTGTGCCCGCGACTTTCCCCGTAGAATTTAACTTTATTTTTTTTAAATAAAAGTAGCCTAAGTTATTCCTTATTACATCAGATTCTTGCCAAAGAAAGTCCCGTCAAAATCGGTCCCGCCATTTCAGAGATCAACCGGAACAAACAGACAGACAGACAAAAATTGTAAAAAATGTTTTTTTGATGTATGTACCGTATCTATATTCATATGCATGTAGTAAAAAACGGTTATTTCAATATTACAAACGGATACTCCAATTTTATTTATATGTATAGATAATGGAATGGTGCACCCGCCCGCGCTAACAGATTACGCTGGCAGGCACCAGTGGAAGATGATAAGATGAGCATGAGGTCAGTCAGTCAGCCCAACGTGACAAATTCACCAGGAATTTATCACGATGGTTTCCACGCGTTCCCCCTGATGACCCCATGTCTAGCAATTACTAGCAATGGGGTCATCGGTCCACATTACTGACAATCACCTTTCCCCCCTATTTACTATTTATAACTAGCCAGTAGCTGTTACTTTGTTAAAGTAATCACAGCGGGTACATATGTACGAGTACAAGTGATATATATTATTATTTATATTGGCTCGGTTCGTTCTTGCGCTATGGGCTTACGTTTTCGCGGGGTGTACGGGTGGGTGTACAGTGGTCCGTGGGGGGTGACGTGGGACGGGGGACGGGGGACGGGGGACGGGGAGGGGTGTCCGCTGTGACTCACTGGTTATTTTTACAAGCCCTCATGGCACAGCACCGGTAGCAGGCGGCGGGGCGGCGGGCGACCTCACCTCGCGGCAGATCGTGACCCGATGATTATCCCTACAGTTGTCTAAGAAAGGTCTCGCATTGACCTTCTCAAGACTGTGACACTTGAATGTTCACACACGACCAGTTCAATAATATAACCTACAATTAAGATTAATACCTATACATATAAATAAAATTGGAGTGTCTGTTTGTAACATTGAAATAACCGTTTCTTACTACATGCGTATGAATATAAATACGGTACATATAAGAAAATAACATTTTTACAATTTTTGTCTGTCTTTCTGTTTGTTCCAGGTAATCTCTGAAAAGGCTGGACCGATTTTGACGGGTCTTTTTTGGCGGGTAGCTGATGTAACAAGGAGTAACTTAGGCTACTATTATTTTAGAAAAATAAAATAAAATTCCACGCGGACGAAGTTGCGTCTACATCTAGTTGTAGTGTATTATAACTATCAAAGTGTTTCTGTCTGTCTGTAACATTTTGGTTCATATACATTTGATGAAAACAGACTATACTCGTATACTACGGAGTGATTTCCTCTATATATAAGAAAAGCGGGTTAATTAGAAGCAGTGTCTTGTATTGTAATTTATATAATATACATAATGTTAAGCTAAAACTACTCAATAATGTCAAAGACGGGTCCAGACTCCTTGTGTTGAGGAGTACATGAAAATCGCTGTTAGATATTTCAGTACCAATTCAATTTGCACCTCATACACGCTCCTCCTGACTATAACATGTGATACAAGGGTCCACCTCGTATCACAGACGACCCACACACGACATTTCTGTTTTGCTCTCTTTACATTGATTGTATAAGTAGTTTGATAACATCACATTATTTACAGTTTATTCATACTTTATATATTTTGATAAAGAGCTCGAAGTTTAATAATTATGTAATTTTTTTAGTATAAGTGTAATATTATGTTATCTGTGGTATAAGTAAGGAGCCAACAGAATATCAAAATCTAATTATGCTGAGTTGGCTGCCTTTTCACTTTTGCGGCACATAAAGTCTATATTATTATAAATATTTATTTCTTATCAGAATTAAAATAAAACTAATCTAGGCCAACCATGTCTCTGCCATCATAATACCGGTATTCGATTAAAATGATATGTAAATATGTTTGCTCTACATACAATTTTGTACTAAACAACATAATTGTATTAAAGCCGCAATTTCTTTAATTACTTTTGTTTTCGTTTTGTTTCTGTCGTGATATCGATATTTGTTTTCCATGAAAAAATGGAGGGAAGTAATAGCAACCGCGCGGAGTTTATGGTGAAACATGTGGGGTAGTATAATCTATAATAATATTATAAAGCTGAAGAGTTTGTTTGTTTGAACGCGCTAATCTCAGGACCTACTGATTCGAATTGAAAAGATCTTTGTGTTGGATAGTCCATTTGTAGAGTAAGACTTTAAGTTATATAACGTTACGCTACGACCAATAGGGACAGAGCTGCTATGATAAATATTGAAAAAGGTGGTGAAATGAAACGCAGACGTAGTTACGCGCAGCTGGTTTCATTATATAAATAGTAACTCTAACTAACCTAAGGGAGGACAGTATATTCTGAGATATCCATAAAGCACTTTCAAGTTAAATTCAAAGAATATGTAGTTCCACAGTTATATGTTGTCAAGCAAACAGTAGTTAAATTAAATAAACGACTATGATGATAGATCCAAAGATTCGCTAATGTTTCTTTATGACGCATTTTACTTTTACGAGTGTTTGGTGGGTACTTGGTGACTTGTCGGGTGGAATCACTGAAATAAATGGATTACAAGGGGTTAGTGGCCGGGATCGATGGCGGATTGCAGGACGACCGAGGTCGCTCACACACACACACACACATACAGACCGTCGCTCAACGTCCACCACCCACGTGACCCCGTGGTCACGTCACACAATTGTAAAGTGTGTACCAACGCATAATGAATACTGTATCGCTAAACTACCACCCTTCAGGCCGGCGAGTGTTTTTTTATTATTGGATTGTTTGGGCTATTGTCAGGTACTTGGACCTGTAGCACTGCGACCTTCATAGATCTGTTGTGCTCGCCC